CACGGGGATTCTGAATGCTCAGGTGACGAAAAGGTTGTAAATAATTGGAATCAAATTTTTTCTATTTGTCATTTCTTAAAGCACTTACCTAGGAAAAGAAATCACATTAGTGTTACGTGTTAGTTTAGGGTATTATTGTTTTGTTATTAAGTGCATATCATTTAGTATGACACATTTAAAAAGTTACCTGGGGTTGTAAGTATAAGGCGATGTTCTGTATCTACAATTTTTTTTATGTTTCTTAAAATTATGGTTTGGTCTCTTTTTGAGTTTCACATTCATTGATTTATGTAATTAATAATTATCTGTATCAATTATATTGGCAAAGCTTTGGTATACCCGTGTCGAGAACGTACCTATGAGTAAGAGCGAAATGGAGCTACGGGAAATGTAGAGATGGATTGTATTCACCGGAGCGAAAGCGCTTCGTTTGTAAGTGAGTAAAAAGTTCGTTGTTTTACTTTTAATTACATATTTTGGTTACTATTGCACATAAAATTATAATGTGCAATGTAAAGATAAACGATAAGCGAAACTTTTTTTAAGAGTAAAACTTTTTGATATAGGCTTCCGTTTATTAAATAATACGATGTAAACGCAAAAGTTGCAAAATTTGTCAAATTTTTAGGGATATCGAACTGAGATAATCGCGTTTGAAGTTTAATTCTTCCGTAAGACCCAATGTAATTGGAAACGTTTGATAATTTATTATTACTTTCACTGTACAAAGAAAATTTTGATTTATATACGAAAAAATTCGTTATTTTTTCGTCTTTCCGTACATGTGCTTAACTCGTTTTTCGCGTTTTGTGCCCTAATGCATGGACCGATTTTGGACGGCCTTGACATTTAGAATCAGTATATGATGACCTTTCATTTTTTGTGAATTTCAGCTTGTGACACCAAAACCCCCACGGAAGTCATAATTTCTGCCACCGAGCACTCTACTACAGGTATTTTTCAGAAGTAAAGTGAGTAAACTGGAGTAAATCTCGCGCATGCGTGCATTCAAGTAGGATGTTATTTTCAGTAATATAGCAGTAAATTTATAACCGCAGATTTGTGTATTTTTAGTAAATGTAGCACTTGAAGTAAATTTCCGACCGTACCCT